TTTTCCCTTCCCTCCTTCGGCCAGACCTCACCGTAGAGCTCCTTCCCAGAGCTGGCTTGTAAGATCACAGCCAGTTCCTTTCTCTTCCCTCAAATTCTCTTTTTACCACTCTCTCTAGAGGAGAGAGCCACTCTACCCTAAACTCCAGTATCCAGTCATAGAATCATAGAATGGTTTAGGTTGGAAAGGACCTTGAAGATCATCGAGTTCCACCCCCCCTGCCATGGGCAGGGACCCCTCCCACTAGACCTGGTTGCCCACGGCCACGTCCAGCCTGGCCTTGAACACCTCCAGGGATGGGGCCTTAACAACCTCTCTGGGCAACCTGTTCCAGTGCCTCACCACCCTCAAAGTGAAAAACTTCTTCCTAATGTTTAATCTCTTCCAGTTTATAGCCATTCCCCCTCGTCCTGTCACTCCATGACCTAGTAAAAAGTCCTTCCCCAGCTCTACTGTAGACCCCCTTTAGGTACTGGAAGGCCGCAATAAGATCTTCCCGGAGCCTTCTCTTCTCCAGGCTGAACAGCCCCGGCTCTCTCAGCCTCTCCTCATAGGAGAGGCGCTCCAGCCCTCGGATCATCCTCGTGGCTCTCCTCTGGACACGCAGGGCCATGTCTTTCTTATGTTGAGAACTCCAGAGCTGGACGCAGTACTCCAGGTGGGGTCTCACGAGAGTGGAGTGGAGGGGCACTAACCAACAAACATACAGTAGCTTTAAAAAAAAAAAAAAGAAAAAAGAAAATAAAGACTGTCTCCAATTTTAATGTTACATGCAGCATCTAATACACACAGGAATACAATACAATGAAGGTCCAAAACTGCTGAAGAGGAAAAAAGAAACACCATCACTTTAAAGATCTTTGTTGTTTGCCTAAGATGTGTCCTTCACGGACTTGACTGGGCACAAAAGGATTCAACATAAATGAATAACTGCTAAACTGCTTCTGATCTGCAGATCATATTGTCCTGCTGACAGATCATGCATGTGAAGTAGAAGAGCTGATACAGGATAGTGAAACCAGCAATGAACCTGAGAAAATTGAGAAGGCGCAGCTGGAATATAAATGGACAAAAATCAGCCTCTGACAAGGAAAGGCAAAAGCAAAGGAAAGAAAACAAACAGGGGAACAGATAAATGCTAAAAGTAACAGTACCCCCCACAAACATAGGAGGCTTCCTCCAAAATGTGTGCATAAGGGTTTGAGCATGTATTTATCCATCATCAGATTAGCAAGAACATGAACTAGAATAATGCTGATATAAATTAACAAAGGTACTAAAGTGGATGTTTTATCTATGATAGGTTATATCCTCATTCAGAGGTATTTAAACCCTGATTAAATGGAACCCTGAAACATCTGTGGAGAGTCAGATTGAATCATCCTTCAGGGGACAAGCACTACATGTTTTCATTACATTTCAATTATGTAGCCTGTCCAGATCTTAAGGATTTACACTGTTTTTTTAATCATATATTTCTTTAGAGTTGGACATGGATGTAATGATGATGTTAGTGCAGTAGACAAATGTTGACAAAAATAAGTAGCAAAATTTGAAACGATCCATTCATTGGCTTACCTATGGATAAAAAAATGGGTTGTTTTCTTTCTTAATGTCTGACAAAGACACTGATTTCTGAAAGCTGTGTTTTAGAACTGTTGATTAAATCTCCTACAAGTGAAAACTGCTGGTTAAATCTCCTACATATGTTTACCTGAGCCATTGCATCAAGGAGCCACAGTAGCTTGGATCTGATTGTGAATGTGTAATTTGTCCAGGCAAAAAAAGGGGTTTTTAGAAAGTCTGGAACCTTCTTAATGAAATGTAGAAAACGCTTAGAGAAGTGGAGGGTAATCTGGTGAAAAGACAGATGAACTCAAGATACCAAGGGAAAGATTGATCACAAAGCAGAATTGCAGAGAAGGGAGATGAAACACCAGAAACAGATAAGTTTATCTAGCGAATGTATAGAGGAAGAAAGGAAAGAAGATAATGGATCTAGAGACAAAGACAACAGGATGGTAGCTGAAGCGGAAGGTTGAGAGATTATTTTTTTCTTAGATGTTCAATGACAATACTGTATTCTTCTGATGTTAGCAAGGTAATGGTGCAAAAGCAGTTATTGCAGCAGGTTGGAGAAGAATCAAGACACCTTGTTAGTTTTGCACTTAAAACGGCAGATTGGTACTCTTGGAACCTGCAGTTTCGCTTCATGGTTATGTTTGAAACTTCGGTTTTCTTGGGCAAGGCAATTACTTCTCTCTTCAGTTTCCTATTTATAAACTTGGGGTGATAGTACTTCTTTTCTATCACCTTCTTCTTGATTTGTTTGTCTGAGTTAAGGCAGGAGCCGTATCTTGATACACGTCTGCCTCGAGGCTAGCAGAGTAACCTGGTCCCAACCAGGGCTGTTACATAGGAGTGTCACGGTAATCACTGGTAAGTAAGACAGAGAGGATCAGGAAAGCTGAAGAAGCTGCCAAAAGGCTTGATATCAGGCACTAGAAGTGATTACTTAAAAATACATATTTGGGTTCTTTTATTTCCTTTCTGATCCTATCAAGCGTACTCAAGGCACATTTCAGTTTGTTTTTTATTTATTCCCTTGAATCTTTCTTTTACTTCAAAAGAAAGTGGTTATTCTCATCCAAGAGCTTGGGCTTTCTGAAAAACACCAGCTCTCATCAGACTTTTGATAAAATCATAAGAGCTAGAAACATTGAGAGGTTTTTTTTTTTTCTTTAATAACCTCTCTTTCATGAATATTTACTTCTCATTTGAATAATTATCATCAATAAAAATTAAAACCTTATGTTTGTGGGGAGTGCGAGCAACTTTGGGATTAAAATGAGTGACATCCTGCAAAAATGAGGGCTATTAGAGGGTTATCTTTCTTACAAGCAGAGCTCTTTCTGCAAGAGCATTCTGAGCCTGGAGTACTACAAAACCAAGAAAATGGAGGAGAGAAATTCTGCACATGCAAAGCAGAACTGGGAAAAAGATTCTGTTTGGTTCATCTACACTACCAGCTGTATAGCTTAAGCTATAAACAACACTATGAAAATTACGGAGTTTCTAATATCATTAATGATTCTTTTGATCAGTGTGTTTAAATTACAGTTCTTGTTCATTTAATTTTAATTATTTGCTATTTGCCTGTGCAAACAACATGCTGTTTTCAGCAACGGTTTGCCAAGAAGCCTGCGACGACGTGCAGGATTGTGATATATCACACCTGTGACAACATAAACCACAGAAAAATATGAACAAAGAGGAAAGACAAATGTACCCTCTCGAGCACTAAAGTTATAGAATGCCTAGAGATGAGGAACAGCTAATTTACGAGAAAATGGGCTATAATTTGGAGAAAAGGAGTAAGTTTGGTTTATAATTTGCAGGTAAAATGTATGAACTCTGTATTTATCAAACTAAAGTTCCATGCTAAAGCTAACTGCTCTCCTGGACTTTTTTATATGGAGATAACCACTGGCATTTATTAAACTTGATAATCTTACATTCAAAGAGAGCTCCTGCTTGGTTTAGATGTGGCCATGTTTTTTCTCATATAAGCAATTAATTAAGTACCTGGAACAGAAATATTGTCAGTGGCAAGGCTGAGGCATCACCCGCTTGAAAGGATGTGAAGTTGTCAAAGGAGGATCTCTCAGCCATTTTGAGAGAACAGAAGGACGCTGCCTAGATGCCAAACAACAAACAAATCTTAACAGTGAGGAAAATGTGGTAAGGAATGAGACACTCATATTTTATTGTGTTGTCTTGCACTGTTTGTTGTGTTATTTAAAACAAAAAGTAATTGTGGCTTAAACTGCCTGAATGTTCCATGCAATTACACTTGGACTCTGCCTGGAAAACGTACGTTCTGGGAGCATTCGCCATGTTAGGAGTATAACAAAGATTGCACATGATGTCCCTCAAGGTAGACCTGGTCTGTGGGGACATACCGTGCAGCAGCTGTGGCCACAGGGCTCTGGAGGGTGCAGGTGAGTCAAGGAGGTATCTGGAAAGGTGTGGAGTGCCACGTGGGTCCTGTGCTTGCATTTCAGTCTGACGGAGGAGTCTGCACTAGCAGGGAGAAAAAGAAACCAGACCAAGTCCTGGGTCATTACATTATTTACATCTCCACGAACCAAGTGACAATAGAGATCTGTGCCCAAAGTGGACAGTGTTTCACTATCACGTTTGGAGAAGATGGTTTTCTACCTCTTTGTCCTCCTGCTGTGTCTTACTTTACAGGTACAATGCGATTGTGTACCTAATTCACAGGGGGGTTGTTACATACAAATAATATCTATGGTGGATGAAAAACTGGACGTGAGCTACCATTGTGCACTTACAGACTTGAAGGCCAACCATATCCTGGGCTGCATCAAAAGAAGCATGGCCAGCAGGTAGAGGGAGATGATTCTGCCCCTCCACTCTGCTCATGTTAGACCCCACCTGGAGTACAGAGTCCAGCTCTGGGATGCTCAGCACAGGAAAGACATGGACCTGTTGGAGCAGGTCCAGAGGAGGGCCACGAAGGTGATCAGAGGGATGAACACCTCTCCTGTGTGGAAAGGCTGAGAGAGTTGGGGTTGTTCAGAAGAGAAGTCTCCGGGGAGACCTTATTGCAGCCTTTCAATATATAAAGGGGGCTTACAGGGAAGATGGAGAGAGACTTCCTACAAGGCCTGTAGTGACAGGGCCAGGGGCAACAGTTTTAAACTGGAAGAGGGTAGCTTTAGACTGGACTTAAGGAAGAAATTTTTCACTATGAGGGTGGTGATGCACTGGACCAGGCTGCCCAGAGAAGTTGTGGATGCCCCATCCCTGGAAGTGTTCAAGGCCAGGCTGGATGGGGCTTTGAGCAACCTGGTCTAGTGGAAGGTGTCCCTGGCCATGGAATGGTCTTTGAAGGCCCCTTCCAACCCAAATCTTTCTGGGATTCTATATAAAAGCCTCTACTGTAGTACAGTATACTGATGCCCATCACGTCATCGATGGCTGTACAGGTATGTCCGGCTGTTCAGTGCCCGAGATGGCAGCAGCGTGCTGCTGTTATTTAGGAAGAACACATAAGGAGAGGAAGACCCTTCTCTGGGCAGCGCATCTCAGACACTTCTGCACGGACCCTCGCAGCGAGGGGTCCCGCCGTGCTGCCTGTGGTGCGACCCGTGCTCTCCCCTGCCCACCGGCCCTCCTGCCCGGCCACCGCGGCCCTGCTCGGTT